CTCTCCAGACAACTTCCAGTGGGTACTCCTAGAAGAATTGTGAATTGAATTAATACTAAAAAGAAGAAACCTAAAAAGGGCACTAGGAAGACAAAAAAAGTAGTTAGGCATATCATCCACAATGATCAAGATAACACTGAATACAAAGAAATTTATGAAGATGATGAAGATGAATCTGAGGATGATGATGATGATGAATCTGAGGATGAAACGTATACTGCAAATTCTGTAAAAAAAAAAAAGTCCTCTGATGAAGAATAGACCTAAAAAGAAGATCATAACTTGAGATGTCTATGAAACTGATATGAAAGAGCTTAAGAAAGTACTAGAATATCTCATTACAATAGTAAAAAATCCATCTCATGAAATACTTCTTTGAATGAGCAACAGCCTGTTGAAAATGCTTCTAATATTCAACCAGCTATTGAAAATGTTAGTGAACCTATGGTATTTAATATCCTCCGAAAACCAGCTAGTGATGTAGTAACTATAAAATGCCAAATCAATAAATTAAGAATCCCTAGTGCTGTCTTTGATAGCAATGCAAATTGTTCTATAATGTCATTAAATATTGCTAAAAAATTGGGACTTGATATAGATACAAGTAGAACTACTTCTCTTGAAGGTGTCGCTACTGAATCAGATACAATTGGATGGGTATACAATATTCCTGTAAGTGTTGGATTCTTTACTTTATTAAATGATTTTATTGTTGTCGATGATAATAAACCTGCACTACTTCTTGGTACACCTTGGCTTGATAAAGCACAAGCAATGATAGATTTCCAGAGTTGAATACTTTAAGAAACTCTAATGATTTGCTCTTCAATGTTCCTATATCAGTACACAAGAGTAACAATAAAAAAAAATGCGTCAATTGCCCAAAGCAGATTGGATATGCAATATTTGCCACAAAGAATTTCGATTCCCATCAGATATGAAACAACATTTTAAGAGGAAAAAGAACCTATGTGTACTCATTAATCCATCAAAAGATATGGTTCCAATTCATTTATTACTTTCGAATTAGCTATGTAAGTACATTGTACTAAATCCCAGGGTTATTTATATTTTTTTTGTATTCAGAGTACGAAAAAATAATTACAGAGTATGTAAAAATAATTATGGAGTTTTATTTTATGTATCAAAACATCCACTGTGGAATAATTTGTTCTTCTTCCTTACATTCTTCACATAGCTCATTACCTAATACTATTGGCATCAAACATTCTCGGCATAAAGAATTATTACTTTCAGATAATTGTTCCCCATGATGCTCAATTATTCTTTCATATGTAACATGAATGTCTCTATTTTCGCCCTCATTTTGTAAATTTATTATTTCAATACCTTCCATTGGATGCTCACAATTTATATTTCTTTGGTTTCTTTCATGGGGAAGTGGGGTATTTCTAATACATTCAAAAGCTGTATAAGGAGTACCATTTGACAAGTAATCTGTATAACAATGATAAACTAATCTTTCGTTATTAGCAACAATGATTCTTAAAAAAGAACCTCTTGGAATAAATCTTTCCCGAGTTATATATAGGATAAAAATGTCTATAAATTAGATGATAATATGAGCCCTGACATTCTATCCCACATTCAAGTAAGTAATAATAAAAAGTCAGATTTGATATGGGATATGGAACCTCAGATAATGGTACTCTTCTTGTTTCTGCAACTCTAACATTAATCATTTGACGTGCACTTGTTGGTATGCTTTGACAATTTGGCATTTTTTTTATATAGATAATTTATATAAAATATATATATATATTTGTTCAATTAGAAATCAAAAATGATCGGTATTTATGTAACAAAAAAAATTGGTATATGCACAACAAAATTAATTAAAATTTAGAGATATAATGTATACATTTAGCGTTAACATATGTTACCAGGATTAGACGATGACGATGATAATTTGGCCAAATCCTTTAATTTCGGGTCAAATTAAATTTTATTTCTATTTCTATTTTTTTTTTTATTTTTATTTTATTTTTATTTTTATTTTTTATTATTATCTTATTTAATCTATTATTTATTTTTATTTTTATTATTTTTATTTTTATTATTTCTATTTTTATTTATCAATAACGTGTATAATTATTTATTATCTGTTACCATCTGAATTCGTGTTACTTTTCGCGTATTATTATTATTATTATTATTATTATTAATCAATCCGTAGCACACATTCATATTTATTTAACTTTATTTAGTAGAGATTAATGACGATTCTCCCGGAACAGGCGGATTCGCTCAAAACGTGCGGATTCGCCCAAGTACAAAGTGAGCGAATTTGCGCAATCTGAGCGAAAACGCGCAATTTGAGCAGAATCGCCCAAACCGAGCGGATTCGCGCAATTCGGGCTAATATGTAAATGAACATGTATATAAAGAACTTGATTTCGACCTAATGTAAAAGTAACTTGATAACAAGTTAATTAGTTTCGACTAAATAAAACTAAATAAATAAAATAGAAATATTTTAAACAAAATTATTCGCTAATAACAAAATCAATTCGTTGATCCCCTATTCATTCTGATCCACACAAAACAAAAATAATTGTTATCACCAATTAAAATATGCTCACCCAAATTTAATCGGTGACACATATTTATTTTACATTATAATTTAGAGATATAAATGTTTACACATAGTGTTAGCATATAAGATCATTGAAAGTATTCATATTGAAATTTCGATTTAGACTTATAAATATTTAGATTAATACTTCTGAAAAAATATATTAAAACATGTGTGAAAATATTAAACTTAGCAATTTAACCCTTTCCTTTTGCATATATTCAGTTAAACTTAGCATGAAAGACCTTGATTATAAAATTCTTGGTGAACAACTCGAGCCTAATAAAGATATCATTGCTATCAATAGCAATTTCATTCACAAGTCTTATGAAGGTTTTGAGAACTTTATTGCTCAACCCAAGAAGTTAACCACTAAAAAGAAAAAATTGATGACAATGCCTCTTTTCAAGGAACATAAAAAAGTTGGTGATGGGACTTGTTTTCAATCTTTGTTATATTAATTGATTCAAAGCATTATAGAATGCGCTATTTTCCTAAAAGAGGTGATTTGGGGTCATTGATGAAGACTATCGATCTGGTGAACTTGCTGTTCAAACCTTTATTACGTATCTTAAAGAATCTAATGGACTTACTATGTTTGAATTGGTTGAAATCATTAAGAGTAGCCTTTCTTTATTAAACTTTAAGTATCATATGATATTGCCTTCTAATTTATGCATTGATGTTTCAAAACTTGATTCTATTCTTGCTAATGATTTGTATCCACCTCCATTTAAAATCGTTTATAAAGCTGATCCCATTGAATCTATCAGAAAGCTTTCAATTATATTTGGATCTAATGGAAAGAAAATTCGTGTTATTATTTGGCCTAGTGGGAAGATAAATATAATGTCTGCAACTTCATATGATGATGCTCTCAAAATCTATAACTTCTTAGGTGAAATATTTGAATCTGAAGCATCAAATCTACTTGCAATTATTCATACTTGTGATCCTCTTCAGCCTAAAACTCCTGGTAAAAGGGGATGTAAAAAAATAGATTAATAATTATGCAGACTGATTGTTTTAAATTCCAAGATTCTCTGCTTCGATTTCTTCTATTTCTTTTGTAAAATTATTGATTCTATCAGTAGTGTAATACTTGCTCTCAGGATTTAAATTTTGGTTCTTTAGTTCATTGTATCTTGGAATTAATATGCCTTCTCCAGCCTGGAACCCTTTCTCCCTTATTTTTAGTGTATTTCCCAGATGAAATAGCTTTAGCTTTTGGTCTCTTATATTTCTTTTGTATTTCTACATACTCTTTAGTGATATAGTGATATGCTTGAATTATATAAGATATCATTTTTTATATAGATAGCAGAAATGTTTGATTTGAAAATTTTATCAATTTATTAATTTTCTAGTTTCGTTATAGACATGCTACACATGTCTTGCTTGTTTCACTTTCTTTCCTAATAACTATGGTGCGTATCACCTATACTCATCAAAATTTTTCATGTGACTTCTAACTGTATCTAGTCCACCAATTTTAAAAATTTTTAAAAAATAAATGGTGCAAATATTACTTTAATTGATTCTCTTTCAATTCCACGGATTAAATTTTTAAATTGCTTAATTTTTTGGGGAGCTGATAGTGTTTAAAAATAGTCAATTTTATTAATAAATTTCAAATTTCGGAAGCCGATCATTACCAATCAGAATCCATTTGTTGTTCATTTTATCACGTGAAAATTTCTGGCCAATGAATAAATATTTTTAATGAAACACATACGCGTAAAATCTTTAATATTAATTGTAACACATACACGTAAAATCTTTTGTTTCATATTAATTATTACAGATAAACAAAAAATGCCACCTCTTCCTAAAAGAAAAAGACAATTTAAAGATCAACCAAGAGATGCAGAAGGTAAATATTTATTAAAAAGGGTATGTAATGTTAATAATAAAGTTGATGAAACAAGGCAGAAGGAAAAGCTGAAAGAGAAAGA